ACTGAAGCGAGACTGAAGCAGAGACTGAAGCGGGACTGAATTGGGACTGAAGCAGAGACTGAAGCAGAGACTAAAGCGAGACTGAAGCAGAGACTGAAGCGGGACTGAATTGGGACTGAAGCAGAGACTGAAGCAGAGACTGAAGCGAGACTGAAGCGGGCTAAAGCAGAGACTGAAGCAGAGACTGAGGCAGAGACTGAGGCAGAGACTGAAGCAGAGACTGAAGCAGAGACTGAAGCAGAAACTGAAGTAGAGACTGAAGCAGAAACTGAAGCAGAGACTGAAGCAGAGACTGGAGCAGAGACTGAAGCAGAGACTGAGGCAGAGACTGAAGCAGAGACTGAAGCAGAGACTGAAGTGGGACTAAAGCAGAGACTGAGGCAGAGACTGAAGCAGAGACTGAAGCAGAGACTGAAGCAGAGACTGAAGCAGAGACTGAAGCAGAGACTGAAGCAGAGACTGAAGCAGAGACTGAGGCAGAGACTGAAGCAGAGACTGAAGCAGAGACTGAAGCAGAGACTGAGGCAGAGACTGAAGTGGGACTAAAGCAGAGACTGAAGCAGAGACTGAGGCAGGGACTGAAGCAGAGACTGAAGCGAGACTGAAGCAGAGACTGAAGCGGGACTGAATTGGGACTGAAGCAGAGACTGAAGCAGAGACTAAAGCGAGACTGAAGCAGAGACTGAAGCGGGACTGAAGCAGAGACTGAAGCAGAGACTGAAGCGAGACTGAAGCGGGCTAAAGCAGAGACTGAAGCAGAGACTGAGGCAGAGACTGAGGCAGAGACTGAAGCAGAGACTGAAGCAGAGACTGAAGCAGAGACTGAAGCAGAAACTGAAGTAGAGACTGAAGCAGAAACTGAAGCAGAGACTGAAGCAGAGACTGGAGCAGAGACTGAAGCAGAGACTGAGGCAGAGACTGAAGCAGAGACTGAAGCAGAGACTGAAGTGGGACTAAAGCAGAGACTGAGGCAGAGACTGAAGCAGAGACTGAAGCAGAGACTGAAGCAGAGACTGAAGCAGAGACTGAGGCAGAGACTGAGGCAGAGACTGAAGCAGAGACTGAAGCAGAGACTGAAGCAGAGACTGAGGCAGAGACTGAAGCAGAGACTGAAGCAGAGACTGAAGCAGAGACTGAGGCAGAGACTGAAGCGGGACTGAATTGGGACTGAAGCGGGACTGAATTGGGACTGAAGCAGAGACTGAAGCAGAGACTGAAGCAGAGACTGAAGCAGAGACTGAGGCAGAGACTGAAGCAGAGACTGAAGTGGGACTAAAGCAGAGACTGAAGCAGAGACTGAGGCAGAGACTGAAGCGGGACTGAATTGGGACTGAAGCAGAGACTGAAGCAGAGACTGAAGCAGAGACTGAGGCAGAGACTGAAGCAGAGACTGAAGTGGGACTAAAGCAGAGACTGAAGCAGAGACTGAGGCAGAGACTGAAGCGGGACTGAATTGGGACTGAAGCAGAGACTGAAGCAGAGACTGAAGCAGAGACTGAAGCAGAGACTGAGGCAGAGACTGAGGCAGAGACTGAGGCAGAGACTGAAGCAGAGACTGAGGCAGAGACTGAAGCAGAGACTGAAGCAGAGACTGAGGCAGAGACTGAGGCAGAGACTGAGGCAGAGACTGAGGCAGAGACTGAAGCAGAGACTGAGGCAGAGACTGAGGCAGAGACTGAAGCAGAGACTGAAGCAGAGACTGAGGCAGAGACTGAAGCAGAGACTGAGGCAGAGACTGAAGTGGGACTGAAGCAGAGACTGAAGCGAGACTGAAGTGGGACTAAAGCAGAGACTGAAGCAGAACTGAAGCAAGTCTAGGCATGGGTGTCAAAACCTAGACCCGGGGGCCAAATCCGGCCCGTGAATTAACTATCTTGGCCCCTGGGATGATATTAGAACCGGCCGCACCGAGACATATTGGATTATTCATTCAATGTTCAGGACATGTGTTTCTCTTTGAAGGAAGTTTGTTTTTGTCTGTGAGGGTGTGGAAAAATGTTTGATTGTTAATTTAATAATTAAATAAAATCCGGTACACTCTTATGTCTTGGTCCAATAGGTTTTATGCAACATTTGGATATGGTTTAATACAAATTGAACCAGTGCTTGTAGTAAATGAGTTATTTTGGCCTCTGATGTATTTGACTGTGACTGGTCTAGGGAAAGACAAAAGCCGGTCCTCTTTATTGTCTGAAAAAGCTGATCTAAAGAGGCCAGAACTCATGATGAAAACTAATGTGATAGAAGCAACACAGCCAGGAACCAGAGACATGGGTTCATTAGTTTTACTGTGGTCTGAAAGTTACTCACCTCAATATATTGTGATGTATTATTATTGTAAGATAAAGTCGATACATTCCAATTGTTTTGAGAGTTTTATTACCAAGAATACAAAAGTACTGACATTCAGCAGGTTTAACCCAGTATCAAAAGACCATTCGTTCCGTATAAAAAGTTTTGTGGCACAGCGGTGAGAGAGACACGACTTTACAGCAAAAAGAACACACTGAAATATGAATAAATAATAAATATTGAGAATAAATTATGGACCAGTGATGAAGGCCCCACATGGTGCAGTTTCTGTCATGTTTAAGGCAAAATGCTGACAACAAAAACAAGTTTTAGATCACGTTCAGTTTTCTCTAATGCCCCATTTCCACCTTCTCCGCCCGGTACAGGAAGACAGGAATGTATTGGTACTAGTAGCAGTAGTAGCAGTAGCAGTAGCAGTAGCAGTAGTAGTAGCAGTAGTAGCAGTAGTAGTAGTAGCAGTAGTAGTAGCACTAGTAGCAGTAGTAGTAGTAGTAGCAGTAGTAGTAGTAGTAGCAGTAGTAGTAGTAGTAGCAGTAGTAGTAGCACTAGTAGCAGTAGTAGTAGTAGTAGCACTAGTAGCAGTAGCAGTAGCAGTAGTAGTGAACTACAGGCAGTTTCTCGAATGGAGAAACAGACAATTTTCATATTTTTCTCATGAACTGAAAGGACTTAGAGGAAAGCAGACGCTGACACAGAGAGCTTCATTCACCCAAACACAGCTCCACGGCTTGTTACGCTGTCACTGCAGAGTATAGTCCCTGGAGTGACTTGTAGATTTAGAACCTTCTTCCCTGAGCCACATGTGAGCAGCTGTGTATTGTCTCTAAATGGCGCGTTGTTTTGACCCACCAGCCCGGGTCTCTCAGTGACACGTTTGCTCAGTGGAAATGAGGCTATAGAATCATCTGAACAGTAATGATGCATCATGTAGAAAAAACAACTGTGGAAGAAGGTTACAAAGGGATATGGCAAACTCTTTACAAACATTTACAAACATGTGCTTTAAACCATTCCAACCCTTATAAAAATACAAAATAAACACATTATAAAAGCCACAGACGAGTGCCCTGTGTCCGACCGTCCTCGAACTCAACGGCAAAACAGTCACGTCACAAGGATCGAGTCTTTTTGAACTTCAGGTAGATGTGTCGACTTTCCCACAGAGGTGAAGTCTTTGAGAACTCTTTACTTCCATTTACTCCCTGTTGAACAAAGCTGGCAGCCATTTTGTTTCCAGACAGAAAAGTGATTCTAGATCATTTAAAAACAGCAACAACCCAGAAATGACACAAAGAGCTTGGAACAGTTCGTCCTCAAGGTTCTATTTGGCGTTTGGGTCGAACATATGTTATAAATCCTCACATTATTAAATCATTATCATTAAAAAACAGACGGGAGTGTGTTACCTCCTGTGAGACCTGAACATCTCGGAACATCCCAGAACCGAGAAAGACCCCTCTCTCTTTCTGAGAAAACCATTTACAAACTGTTTCACTGTTCTGAGCTTTACAATAAATACCATGCTTTCTGGACTAGTCGCACATCTATATAAGCCGCACCTGTGTATAAGCCGGTCTATATAAGACGCACCTGTATACAAGCCGCACCCGTGTATAGGCCGCACCTGTATATAATTTGCACCTGTATACAAGCCGCACCTGTGTATAAGCCACACCTGTATGTACTATAATTCGCACCTGTATACAAGCCGCACCCGTGTATAGGCCGCACTTGTATACAAGCCGCACCTGTGTATAAGCCACACCTGTATATACTATAATTCGCACCTGTGTATAAGCCGCACCTGTGTATAAGCCGCACCTGTGTAAAAGCTGCACCTATGTATACGCCGCACCACCTGCATTTTAAAGGATAGTGTAGTCTGTCAGTATGCCCCAAGGCGGGTTCGGGGCCCCTGATTTAGACCATATACATTTTTCTGTCAGGTTCTAAAGCCTGTGATGGAAGATGGTTGTCTTGGTAAAATATTTCAGGTCACAAAAGCAAATACGTCTTGAATTAAAAAACGTCACAAACTTTCTACGGCATGAATTCAATAGGAAGGCGCTGTTTCCACATTTTACCACAAGAGGGAGCTGTCGCCAATATGATACGGTTACATCTCTTTCTCATGTGGTTTAAAGTGTTTTTTCTGAAGATGTGACAGAAATCAGAAACATGAAAACTAGTGATGGACACAAACCAGGTTTAATTGTGTATCTCCTTTGGCTCCATCAAATCAATACTTTGTTTTTATAATTTTAAAAGACCTGGGGCGAGACTGTGCTGCTGATTTATTTCATGTTTTCCTCATTAAAAGCGGGCGCAAGCGGCGATGAGCCAAATATAACTACTTTTCTATTTTTTTGGGAAAGCAACTTCAGTTACAATTCATTGGATAAGTGGTTTCTTTCTTTTCTGCCTCTGTTTGTATTGAACCAAAACTAAGAGTGTTTTAGGCTAATCTACAGAGTCACACATCTTCACTGTTGTGTAAATTGTCACTGTTATTATTACAACAAATAGCTGTGGACGTAACCTACGCGCCGCTGCTGAAGCTGCTGGGTGTGAACCGGGGAAACCTTTGTCACTTCGGTTTGAGCGCGTCTCCCAGTCCTCCTGCTCCTTATATTCCTCCTGCTCCTTATACTCCTGCTCCTCCACAGAACAGGCCGCGCTCCCTCCTCCTACCACAGGGGGGAGCAGTTTTGCGTCACCCCGTACATCTCTGCGAGCTTCTCAAACCGCGGTCCCCAGTCGTTCAGGTAGTCGTACTCGAGGTCTGAGTTGGAGGCTCCTGACTGCAGCGAGCTCAGCGACTCTGCGATGGAGCCTTCGCCCTCGTAGGCGTACGTCTGCAGCGAGTCGTACGGCGGCGCCCGCGAGTCCGAGTCGGCCTCCAGCAGCTTGGCGCACACGAAGCCCTGCACGTGTCCGTCTGCGGGGTCGCTCACGCACGCCAGCGGCACGTACCGTGACAGGCTCTGGATCTCCGGGAGCATGTCCTGCCGCAGCTTGGCCTGAGGGTGCACTTCCCGCGGGTTCCACATGGCGGCGATGTCGAAGGCCTCGGTGTCCTCCTCGCCGCCGCCCTCATCGTCGTAGCGCACGATGTTCTCATGAACGTTATCCTCGCGGTCGCAGAGGTACGGCTTCTTACGGTGCGTGCGCAGAGACAGCATCAGCAGGATCAGCACTAACACAGGATCAGTGGACAGAAGATTAGACCTGGTTTAGTCCTGGTTTAGTCCTGGTATAGACCTGGTATAGACCTGGTTTAATCCTGGTTTAGTCCTAGTTTAGACCTGGTTTAGACCTGGTTTAGTCCTGGTTTAATCCTGGTATAGTCCTAGTTTAGACCTGGTTTAGTCATGGTTTAGTCCTGGTTTAGTCCTGGTTTAGTTCTAGTTTAGACCTGGTTTAGACCTGGTTTAGTCCTGGTTTAGACCTGGTTTAGACCTGGTTTAGTCCTGGTTTAGACCTGGTATAGACCTGGTTTAGTCCTAGTTTAGACCTGGTTTAGACCTGGTTTAGTCCTGGTTTAATCCTGGTATAGTCCTAGTTTAGACCTGGTTTAGTCATGGTTTAGTCCTGGTTTAGTTCTAGTTTAGACCTGGTTTAGACCTGGTTTAGTCCTGGTTTAGACCTGGTTTAGACCTGGTTTAGTCCTGGTGTAGTCCTAGTTTAGACCTGGTTTAGATCTGGTTTAGACCTGGTTTAGTCCTGGTTTAGACCTGGTTTAGACCTAGTTAAGTCCTGGTTTGGTCCTGGTTTAGGCCTAGTTTGGAGCTAGTGTGAGATTTCATAACACTTTGAAGCAACTTTTGTTCAAGTTAAACTCATCATTCTATCAATGTGCAGAAGCCAGTACTTTTCCCTTGTTGTGTCTATCTGAAGGCCAAGCTACATGGCACTGTGGCAGCTGCTGATTGGAGGTCTCCATGCCTCCGCTCTGTATAATACACTTGTATTCTGTTGTATCTGTTGTTCGTGCTGTTCGTGCTGTCTCCACCATCGACAATAAAACATGTCTTCTGTCTGAATTTAAGACGTGATCCCAGACTTTGTCATCTTCTTCACTAGTTTGTACCTAGTTTAGACCTGGTTTGGACCTAGTTTAGTCCTGGTTTGGACTTAGTTTAGACCTGGTTTAGACTTAGTTTAGACCTGGTTTAGACTTAGTTTAGACCTGGTTTGGAACTAGTTTAGACCTGGTTTGGACATAGTTTAGACCTGGTTTGGACCTAGTTTAGTCCTGGTTTGGACTTAGTTTAGACCTGGTTTAGACTTAGTTTAGACCTGGTTTAGACTTAGTTTAGACCTGGTTTGGAACTAGTTTAGACCTGGTTTGGACCTAGTTTAGTCCTGGTTTGGACTTAGTTTAGACCTGGTTTGGAACTAGTTTAGACCTGGTTTGGACCTAGTTTAGTGCTGGTTTGGACTTAGTTTAGACCTGGTTTGGACCAAGTTTAGACCTGGTTTGGACCTAGTTTTAGTTTGATAGTCCTCTCTTTTAGACCGTCTGAAAAAGCTGATCTAAAAGGATGTGAAAGTGAAACTGTTTTGGATCCAGAAACTAGAGACATGGACTTTAGCCCAGAGTCAGGTACCCGAGCTTTAATCTCACCGAGCAGGATGAAGATGCAGGCGAGGATGGCGATGAGCGCGCCCCGGCTCAGGTTGGCGGGCAGCGTGAAGGCCTCGGGCTCACAGGACAGTACTGCCCCCTGCTGGTCACAGCTGCACACACGCACGGTCAGAGTACTGGTGCTGCTCTGGACCGGCTCCTCCCCGTCCCGGACCGACACCGCCAGAAAGAAGACCGAGTGGTCCCGCAGCGCCCAGCCCGCACGCCGTGTCAGGACCCACGCCGAGTTATCTGTCAGACACACAACTTTAGTACAACAGTAACACACACAACTTTAACACAACCGTATTACTACAACAGTCTTGGGCTCAGTGAGAGGCAACAGACGAACTGCAGGTGAAAGACAGATCCTTTCAGACCTCAGAAGCTCAGCAGGACAGGACCTGGTTAGTACTGTGATGGGAGACCTCGGACACCAGGAAAGACACTTCATCGTGTGTGTGCGTGTGTGTGGCGGGCGGGCGTGTGGGCGGGCTGGTCACCTTGATTGTCTCGGAGAGTGAAGTTGGGGTTGTTCTGATCCTCTGCTGTTAAACTGTAGTGAAAGTGGTGTCCTCCGAGCGGGTCGTCCACGTCCACAGCTGTCAGCGCCTGAACCAGCTGCAAACACCAGAACATACATACAATACATCAGGTCATACATCAGAACATGCATACATCAGAACATACATCAGAACATACATCAGAACATACATACATCAGAACATACATACATCAGAACATGCATACATCAGAACATGCATACATCAGAACATGCATACATCAGAACATACATCAGGTCATACATCAGAACATACATACATCAGGTCATACATCAGAACATACATACATCAGAACATACATCACATCAGACATCATAACATACATACAGAACATACATACATCAGAACATGCATACATCAGAACATACATACATCAGAACATACATCAGAACATACATCATAACATACATCAGAACATGCATACATCAGAACATGCATACATCAGAACATACATCAGGTCATACATCAGAACATACATACATCAGAACATACATCAGGTCATACATCAGAACATACATACATCAGGTCATACATCAGAACATACATACATCAGGTCATACATACATCAGAACATACATCAGGTCATACATCAGAACATACATACATCAGGTCATACATACATCAGAACATACATCAGGTCATACATCAGAACATACATACATCAGGTCATACATACATCAGAACATACATCAGGTCATACATACATCAGAACATACATCAGGTCATACATACATCAGAACATACATCAGGTCATACATCAGAACATACATATATCAGAACATACATACATCAGAACATACATCAGGTCATACATACATCAGGTCATACATCAGGTCATACATCAGAACATACATCAGGTCATACATACATCAGGTCATACATGAAGACCAGTTAAAGGGGAGTTTTAAAAAACAATGGAGATGATTTCAGCCCAAAAAGCAGGTGATAAATGTTACACTCTGCACTATTCTCACAGTAGAAACCATACCATTGTGGTTTATACTGCCAGACCAGACCAGACCAGACCAAAGTCAGGAGCCAGAGTGAGCTGAAGCAGAAGTTCATCCATGAAACTAGCTGTTAGCACAGTCTATGGTCTGGACGGGGCCCGGAGCAGACTGTGGTGTCGCACCTGTCCGGCATTGGCGTCTTCGCACACGTAGGTCTCCAGGTGATGGCTCAGGGTCGGAGCGTTGTCGTTCACGTCCAGGACTCTGACGGAAACAGAGACGCTGGAAATCTGAGACGGATTATCTGCACAGACAGAGAGAAAACATGAAGAATAGAAACCAATGCATTATTATTATTATTGTTTGGAATAACTGCAAATGCAGAAGAATTCAAATCAACCATCAAAGGTAAAGCAGGACAGTGGTGAGACAAATTAAATTAACCTCAAAGCTTTTTTGTCTTGTAAAAGTAAAATGTGAAAAAATGCTGTGTTTATCTGATTAGAAAACAAGTTATATTTTGTGTAAGAAAAGCCCTTTAAGTCATTATTTGACGCTTTAGGCTGAGCAAACGTGGTTCTCTCTTTTTCACTTTTCTGCCTGGAAAAAGCAATCCTGGTTTAGACCTGGTTTAGTCCTGGTTAGTTCTGATTCAATCCTGGTTTAGTCCTGATTCAATCCTGGTTTAGTCCTGGTTTAGTCCTGGTTTAGACCTGTGGACGTACTCATCTCCATGGCGAGCACGGTGAGGTTGTGCCAGCCGACCTGCTCTCGGTCCAGGGGCCTAAGGGTCATGAGGGCCCCGGTCGTGGGCTCTATGTAGAAGAACTTCTCCAGGTCGCTGCTCTTGTCGATGGAATATCTGCAACAGAAGAAGAATCCTCAGTAACAGACAGTACTGGTCCAAAGGCTGTGAGTGTGCTGCCCCCTGCTGGGCCCCTTCAGTATTACAACAGCCACGACAGGAAACCGCTCTGCCATTAATCACTTACACACTTCCAGTTAAATGCAGTGTGAGGAATGGCTCTCTCTAGTCTCTCTCTGGTCTCTCTCTGGTCTCTCTCTGGTCTCTCTCTGATCTCTCTCTGGTCTCTCTCTGGTCTCTCTCTGGTCTCTCTCTGGTCTCTCTCTGATCTCTCTCTGGTCTCTCTCTGGTCTCCCTCTGATCTCTCTCTGGTCTCTCTCTGGTCTCCCTCTGATCTCTCTCTGGTCTCTCTCTGGTCTCTCTCTGGTCTCTCTTTGGTCTCTCTTTAGTCTCTCTCTAGTCTCTCTCTGGTCTCTCTCTGGTCTCTCTCTGGTCTCTCTTTAGTCTCTCTCTAGTCTCTCTCTGGTCTCTCTCTGGTCTCTCTCTGATCTCTCTCTGGTCTCTCTCTGGTCTCCCTCTGATCTCTCTCTGATCTCTCTCTGGTCTCTCTCTGGTCTCTCTCTGGTCTCTCTCTGATCTCTCTCTGGTCTCTCTCTGGTCTCCCTCTGATCTCTCTCTGATCTCTCTCTGGTCTCTCTCTGGTCTCTCTTCAGTCTCTCTCTAGTCTCTCTCTGGTCTCTCTCTGGTCTCTCTCTGGTCTCTCTTTAGTCTCTCTCTAGTCTCTCTCTGGTCTCTCTCTGGTCTCTTTCTGGTCTCTCTCTGGTCTCTCTCTGGTCTCTCTTTAGTCTCTCTCTGGTCTCTCTCTAGTCTCTCTCTGGTCTCTCTCTGGTCTCTCTCTGGTCTCTCTTTAGTCTCTCTTTAGTCTCTCTCTAGTCTCTCTCTGGTCTCTCTCTGGTCTCTCTAGTCTCTCTCTGGTCTCTCTCTGGTCTCTCTTTAGTCTCTCTCTGGTCTCTCTCTGGTCTCTCTTTAGTCTCTCTCTAGTCTCTCTCTGGTCTCTCTCTGGTCTCTCTTTAGTCTCTCTCTAGTCTCTCTCTGGTCTCTCTCTGGTCTCTCTTTAGTCTCTCTCTAGTCTCTCTCTGGTCTCTCTCTGGTCTCTCTCTGGTCTCTCTCGGGTCTCTCTTTAGTCTCTCTCTAGTCTCTCTCTGGTCTCTCTCTGGTCTCTCTGTAGTCTCTCTCTAGTCTCTCTCTGGTCTCTCTCTGGTCTCTCTTTAGTCTCTCTCTAGTCTCTCTCTGGTCTCTCTCTGGTCTCTCTTTAGTCTCTCTCTAGTCTCTCTCTGATCTCTCTCTGATCTCTCTCTGGTCTCTCTCTGGTTTCTCTCCTCACCTCACAGTGTTGTTGGCTGAGTCCGGGTCTCTGGCGCTCACGGCTCGGACCACAGTCCCAACCTGGGCGTCCTCCAGAAGCTCCAGGACGTACTGGTTCTGGTCAAACACCGGTGGCTCGTCCACGTCCTCGATGGTCAGGTGCACGATGGTCACGTCACTAAAGTGCTGGTTCTGTCCAGGATCCGTGTTCGCCGCCTCCACCTTCAGAGTGAAGCTCGGCTTTGACTCAAAGTCCAGCGCCTGCGAAGGACACGGTCAGTCCTGCGGTAAAGCACTAGGTTTCACTGGTCTAAGTCTGGATCTGGGTTTTGGTGTAGGTTTAGGACTAGGTCTAGGTCTAAGTTTCGTTCTGGTCATGGTCTATGTTCATACTTGTTCTCGTCTTAGGTCTAAGTCTTGATTCTGGTCCTGGTCCTAGTGTTCGTCCTGGTCCTGGCCCTGGTTCTGGTCCTGGCCCTGGTCCTGGTTCTGGTCCTGGCCCTGGTCCTGGTCTCCGTCCTGGTCTTCGTCCTGGCCCTGGTCCTGGTCCTGGTCTCCAGCCTGGTCCTGGTCCTGGCCCTGGTCTCAGTGAAGAGTCCGTACCCTCTTGACCGCAATGACCCCGTAGCTCCTCGTCGGGTCCGTGCTGATCTCAAACGAGTCTCGTCCGTCTCCGTCCACGACAGAGTACTTCATGAGAGCGTTGGGGCCTGAGTCCTGGTCTCGAGCCCAGATGGTCCCGACCACGGTCCCCACGGGGGCCGACTCAGGGACCGACATCTGGTACAGCCCTGTCCACACCAGACCACACGGTTAGGAGAGATAATGGTCCGTGTCCCCCCGCCCCTTCTGTCTGAAAGCCCTTGTCTCAAACTTGGCACATTTTCCCCATTCATTCACGTTCAAAGCTGTTTTTAAAACTAAAATATTCCTGGTTTAAAGCTGGAGTGCGTAACTTTAAAACCACAAAAAGAGCAGCTTTTTCAGACAGAAAATGTAGTCCCCACTCAGGTCTGGTCTAAAGCAGGACTGAATAAGGACTCAACCAGGTCAAACAAGGACTCAACCAGGTCTAAACCAGGAGTAAACCATCACTGATCCAGGTCTAATTGACTCTGGTCTAGGCCCGGGTTAGTCCTGCTTTGGTCCTGGTTCAGTCCTGGTATAGACCTGGTTTAGACTCCTGGGTTAGCCCTGGGTTAGTCCTGGTTTAGTCCTGGTTTAGACTCCTGGGTCAGTCCTGGGTTAGTCCTGGTTTAGACTCCTGGGGCAGTCCTGGGTCAGTCCTGGTTTAGTCCTGGTTTAGTCCTGGTTTAGACTCCTGGGTCAGTCCTGGTTAAGTCCTGGGTTAGTCCTGGTTTAGACTCCTGGGGCAGTCCTGGTTTAGTCCTGGGTTAGTCCTGCTTTAGTCCTGGGTTAGTCCTGGTTTAGTCCTGCTTTGGTCCTGGTTCAGTGATATTCTATAGTTCAGCTAAGCTCTGCTGCTGTTTTAAACTTCTCCACTAGAGGGAGCTGTCTGCCTCCTGTTCCTCAGCTTTGTGCTCCTGATGGGACTGGAGCCCAGATTAAGGCTCTCTGGATGGGGTCTGTCCCTGATCTCCCCCTGACAGAGAAGGCTCCAGCTCAACCATGAAGACCAGGACTAAACCATGGATCATTTCTGGTTCATTACCAGCAGTAATCCTCTGTCCAAAATTAATCAAATTATGAAAGTTTCTCCTTTTCTCTGTGACATGGGACTTTTGCTGCTTTTGCTCATGTAGTACTAGATAGAAGAAGTATTAGTAGTAGTAGTAGTAGAAGTAGTAGTAGAAGTATTAGTACCAGAAGTATTACTAGTAGAAGTATAAGTAGTGGAAGTATTAGTAGTAGTAGTAGTAGTAGTGGTAGAAGTAGTAGTAGAAGTAGTAGTACTAGTAGTATTAGTAGCAGAAGTATTAGTAGTAGTAGTAGTAGTAGAAGTATTAGTATCAGAAGTATTAGTAGTAGAAGTAGTAGTAGTAGTAGTAGTACTAGTAGTATTAGAAGTATTAGTAGTAGTAGAAGTAGTAGTAGTAGAAGTATTAGTATCAGAAGTATTAGTAGTAGAAGTAGTAGTAGTAGTAGTAGAAGTATTAGTACCAGAAGTATTAGTAGTATAAGTAGTAGTAGTAGTAGTAGTAGTAGTAGTAGTAGAAGTCTTAGTACCAGAAGTATTAGTAGTAGAAGTAGTAGTTTTAGTAGTGGAAGTATTTGTAGTAGTAGTTGTAGAAGTAGCAGTAGAAGTATTAGGATAACCAAGTCTATACCAGGTCTGAACCAGGTCTGAACCAGGTCTGAACCAGGTCTGAACCAGGTCTGAACCGGGTCTGAACCAGATCTGGACCAGGACTGACAGCCTTTCGTGTTATTAGTGTCAGTTATGTATTAAAGCTGATGTATGTAACTTTAGTGCTTAATAATCCCTGGATCTAAAACAGTTGTATGTTTTAACTCTTCCTTTAATCTTCTTGTTAGGACAGATTATTGAAACAGACAGGACCAGGTCTCAGCCCAAAGAGGACCAGGTCTCAGCCCAAAGAGTCTGTGACAGATGAAGGAGGGTTCTTACGCTGGTCGAACACGGGCGGGTTGTCATTGATGTCGCTGAGGCGTATGTGGACTCTGGTGGTCCCGGCCAGACCCCCCATCTGCCCCCCCATGTCTTTGGCCTGGATCAGCAAAGTATAGTTCTCTCTGGTCTCACGGTCCATGTCAGACAGAGACACACGCACCACTCCTGCAAAAGACCAGAACACACCGACTTAGACCGGAGGGAGACCAGAGGGAGACCAGAGAGAGACCAGAGAGAGACCAGAGAGAGACCAGAGGGAGACCAGAGGGAGACCAGAGGGAGACCAGAGGGAGACCAGAGGGAGACCAGAGAGAGACCAGAGGGAGACCAGAGAGAGACCAGAGGGAGACCAGAGGGAGACCAGAGGGAGACCAGAGGGAGACCAGAGAGAGACCAGAGTGAGACCAGAGAGAGACCAGAGAGAGACCAGAGTGACTCTCTCACCAGTCTTGGCGTCCACAGAGAAGTACGGCTGTCCTTCCAGGACGCTGTAGACGACCCGGGCGCTGTTGCCGTAGGTCGGGTCGTCGGCGTCGGTGGCGGTCACTTGGATCACGGAGGTTCCTGAACAAACATTAGATTCATCAACAGAAAAACAGGAAATGTCTAAATCAAAATTTGGTGGAAAAAAAAAATAATATTAATAAATAAAAAAAATCTGAAAACACAAAAAACACTCACAGATAAACAGAAAATAGAAAATGAAAAATAGAAAATTCACAAAATAAAATATTTGGGGTAAAAAAAATATTACTAAATACTGAACTATTTAATACAAAAATGTGAATATTAATTTAAATATCTGGGAAATGTGTGTTACTATAAGTTATTATTACTCATTACATAATTCATATGAAGAAAAACTATTTCAAAACTTCAAATAAATAAGAATGTTTTGAAAAAAAACAACTTCAATATTAACAAATAAAAAATATAAATGTATTTGATTTATTAGAAAAATAAGATAAAATCACAAGAAATCTGTTTTGCAAAGATTAATGAGCTATTTTTTCTGTTTTTATGAAATAATGAGAAGAACAATATTACTTAATGCCTTAATAAGAGAATAAACATTATTAATGATATCGTGTGCGGCCGCCTCACCGATGGCGGACATCTCGGGCACGATGGCGGCGTACGGTCCGTCCAGGAAGCGCGGCTCGTTGTCGTTGATGTCCTGGATCTTTACGATGAACTGGGACTCGGGCTCGAGGGCCCGGTCGCTGAGGCGGCTCCTGGCCTGGGCCCGCAGCACGTACTGGGCTTTGAGCTCGCGGTCCAGGCGCTGGATGGCGTGGATGTCGCCCGTGCTCTCGTCGATGGTGAAGGTGGAGCCCGCCCCCTCCCCCGACAGGATGTAGCGGATGGAGCCGTCGCCTTTGTCCATGTCCGAGTGCAGCTGAGGACAGAAGCACAGGGACAATGTGTTCACAGGAGACAGAAGCACAGGGACAATGTGTTCACATCATCTCTCTCTGGTCTCTCTCTGGTCTCTCTGGTCTCTCTCTCTCTGGTCTCTCTCTCTGCTCTCTCTCTGGTCTCTCTCTGGTCTCTCTGGTCTCTCTCTCTGGTCTCTCTGGTCTCTCTCTCTGCTCTCTCTCTGGTCTCTCTCTGGTCTCTCTCTCTGCTCTCTCTCTGGTCTCTCTCTCTGGTCTCTCTCTGGTCTCTCTCTGGTCTCTCTCTGGTCTCTCACACTTCCTCTCTTTCTGGTCTCTCATGTCTTTCTAATCTTTCTCTCTGCCTCCTCTCATCTCGCCTTTCTAATTCTCTTATCTCTCTTCACTCCCCCATTTCCTCTACCCTCTCCTGCCCGCACGCCTCTCCTCTCTCCCCCTCCTCTCCCTCCCCCTCTCCCTCCCCCTCTCCCTCCCCCTCTCTTAAGTGAGACCAGATTTTCCTGATTGCTCCTCACATCTCTATTTGCACTTGTGTCTTCTCTGTAATTGGCTTCAGGCTGATTACTCCTCCTCATCTCCTTCACACGGTGCTTCTGTCCATCGGGGCCTAGAGACCAGAGAGAGACCAGAGAGAGACCAGAGAGAGACCAGAGAGAGACCAGAGAGAGACCAGAGAGAGACCAGAGAGAGACCAGAGAGAGACCAGAGCGAGACCAGAGAGAGTCCAGAGAGAGACCAGAGAGAGACCAGAGAGAGACCAGAGAGAGACCAGAGAGAGACCAGAGCGAGACCAGAGAGAGTCCAGAGCGAGCCCAGAGAGAGAGACCAGAGAGAGACCAGAGAGAGAGGGATCAGAAAGAGAGCAGAGAACGGTTTCTTACTCCCGATGTACGCGTTCCAGCCAGTATCTCCAGCAGACGGTCTCCAGTCCCATGATCTCCGACGCTTCCACCACCGCGCTTCACTCTCCGCCGCTGAAACGCAGACGCCATTTTGTCTTGTCCCTCCTCCAAGGAATTACCCATGATGCCGAGGGGCAGCAGGCACAGCACCAGCACGAGTCCTGCCGCCATCGCCAACGTTGCAAACCGAGATCTGTGATTGGACGTCCTGAAGGCAGTTCCTGTGGAGGAGGAGGGAGATGCACGAGTGAGGAAGCTGCATGAAGGACTTTGAGGGTTTGGGGAACAAGCTCCAGAATAACATTTCTCTCCTCTCTCCTTCTCCTCTCCTTCTTCTACTCTCTCCTCTTCTCTCTCCTCACCTCTCTTCTCTCCCCTCTCTCCTCACCTCTCTTCTCTCCCCTCTCTCCTCACCTCTTTTCTCTCCTCTTCTCTCCCCTCTCTCCTCTTCTCTCTCCTCACCTCTTTTCTCTCCTCTCTCTCTCTCCTCACCTCTTTTCTCTCCTCTTCTCTCTCCTCACCTCTCTTCTCTCCCCTCTCTCCTCACCTCTTTTTTCTCCTCTTCTCTCCCCTCGCTCCTCACCTCTCTTCTCTCCTCTCTCTCCTCTTCTCTCTCCCCTCTCTCCTCACCTCTCTTCTCTCCCCTCTCTCCTCACCTCTCTTCTCTCCCCTCTCTCCTCACCTCTCTTCTCTCCCCTCTCTCTCCCCTCTCTTCTCTCCTCTCCTCTCTCTCCTCTGTCTCCCCTCTTTTCTCTCTTCTCTCCTCTCTCTTCTCTATCTATCCTCTCTCTCCTCTCCTCTCTCTTCTCTTCTCTCCTCTCTCTTCTCTATCTCTCCTCTCTCTCCTCTGTCTCCCCTCTTTTCTCTCTTCTCTTTCTCACCTCTCTCTCTCCCCTCTCTCCTCTCTCTTCACCTCTCCTCTCTCTCCTCTGTCTCCCCTCTTTTCTCTCTTCTCTTTCTCACCTCTCGCTCCTCTCCTCTCTCTTCCCTCTCTCTTCTCTCTTCTCTATCTCTCCTCTCTCTCCTCTCCTCTCTCTTCCCTCTCTCTTCTCTCCTCTCCTCTCTCTTCTCTTCTCTCCTCTCTCTTCTCTATCTCTCCTCTCTCTCCTCTCCTCTCTCTTCCCTCTCTCTTCTCTTCTCTCCTCTCTCTTCTCTATCTCTCCTCTCTCTCCTCTCCTCTCTCTTCCCTCTCTCTTCTCTCCTCTCCTCTCTCTTCTCTTCTCTCCTCTCTCTTCTCTCCTCTCCTCTCTCTCCTCTGTCTCCCCTCTTTTCTCTCTTCTCTTTCTCACCTCTCTCTCTCCTCTTCTCTCTCCCCTCTCTCCTCTCTCTTCACCTCTCCTCTGTCTCTCCTCTTTCTTAAAAAGTGATGTATCTTGGTTTTGGAAACACCCTTCTCTCTTTTATAAACGCTCACCACATTCATCACTGGTGACTGTGACTGGTCTCTGTCAGAACTTTATCGACACCATACGGCGACAGCTGCTTCGCCACACGCTCCGACAAAAACACCAAAGCATTTATTCAGTTTAACCAACTTTACGCCCGAGCCCCGCCCTCCCCCAGCTGCCGGGGTCTCTCTTAAACAGGCCCACGTCACCGTACGGGTCTAAACTCCCCCAAATACCACCACACAAGCCGAGCCCTCCGTGGCGGCGTTCAAAAGACGGGGAAAAGGTCAAGTGGCCACCATTTTGTCTCGCTAATCCCTCAATAGCCACTTAACACAGGCGCACAAAAGAGCAGTGCGTTCAATGGGAGGGGGGGGGGGGGGCGGGTTGACCACGCCCCTTGGTCCAGGCTTTTGTAAGTTTGAGCAGTCGGACCAAACAATGGACTTCCAGCACAAAGCGTAATGAAGTTGGCACTCTATCGCTCCTTTCAGAACGTCAGGTCTTGTTGATGCTAATTGAGGAGCGCAGATGTAGCATAAAAGGCTAAAGTTAAGAAGCAGAAAAGTGGCGTGAGAAGAAGACGAAAGGAGAGAGCGACACGGAGCAAATCGGGTTGAGAAGCGGAGAGTAAAACTGCTGTAATGAGGTTTCGGGTGTTTGTAGCAGGATATGGGATTTAAGCATGAAATCTGCAGGAAACAATAATGGGGCTAAAACAAGGCCCTGAGGGACTCCTCTGCATGTATGTTATAGACTCATGTGACATTAGCCCTGACAGTCACTTTTGGACTTTTTGGGCTGAGAGCTGATTGGCTGAGTGAGGGAGGTCCTCTCTTTGCTAAAAGAAAAACAGTCCAGTCTTGGTTCAGTCCTGGTCCAGTCCTGGTCCAGTTCTGATCAGTGCCCTCATTATCGTTCAACTGAGTAAACACAAACGAGCCACAATCTGTGTGAGAACCCTGAACCAGGTCTGAACCAGGTCTAAACCAGGTCTGAACCAGGTCTAAACCAGGTCTGAACCAGGTCTGAACCAGGTCTGGACCAGGTCTGAACCAGGTCTGGACCAGGTCTGAACCAGGTCTTAACCAGGTCTGAACCAGGTCTGAACCAGGTGTGAACCAGGTCTGAACCAGGTCTGAACCAGGTCTGAACCAGGTCTGAACCAGGTGTGAACCAGGTCTGAACCAGGTCTGGACCAGGACTGAACCAGGTCTACTGTTCTAGTAGTAGTAATAATAGTCTAAAGCAGAACTAAAGCAGAACTAAAGTAGGACTAAAGTAGGACTAAAGCAGGACTAAAGCAGGTCTAAAGCAGGTCTAAAGCAGGTCTAAAGCAGCACTGAACCAGGACTGAACCAGGTCTTGACTTGGATCCACATATGGTCCAGAGGTGCAGCTGTGCTCAGATGTGGTTAGGGCTAGATCCGACGTCAGCGGAGAACCACAGAGCGTTTGGCTCAGAGGCACGAGGGCAGAGGCTGCGGTTAATCAAACACCATCAGTCCATTAAAGAGCAGGAGGAGCACCCCGACCACAGCCACCAGCTGCACCAGGACTGGACCAGGTCTGGACCAGGTCTGGACCAGGTCTGGACCAGGTCTCCTGTTCTAGTAGTAGTAATAATAGTCACATAATAACAGCCACATAATTCAAGTGTCAATGTGTTTTCCATTATCGTCTGTGTGTGTGAGTGTGTGTGTGCGCGCGTGTTTCTGTGCGTGTGTGTGTGTGTGCGCGTGTTTCTGTGCGTGTGTGTGTGCGCGCGTGTGTGTGTGCGCGCGTGTGTATGTGTGTATGTGTGTGTGTGTGTGCACTGAGTTCAGAGGCTTAAATCCTGCGGTGAACTTTAAAGGGGAGGTGTGGGGGGTGGAGGTTTTCTGCCACAAGACCGGCGCACGAGGAGAAACTCATAATCCAAAACACATCCAACCAAACCACAGCAGCATCAGCAGCAGTAGTAGTAGTAGTAGTAGTAGTAGTAGTAATAGTAGTAGTAGTAGTAGTAGCAGTAGTAGCAGTAGTAGTAGTAGTAGTAGTAGTAATAGTAGTAGTAGTAGTAATAGTAGTAGTAGTAGTAGTAGCAGTAGTAGCAGTAGTAGTAGTAGCAGTAGTAGCAGTAGTAGTAGTAGCAGTAGTAGTAGGAAGAGTAGTAGCAGTAGTAGTAGCAGTAGTAGTAGTAAGAGTAGTAGCAGTAGTAGTAGCAGTAGTAGTACAAAGTGCTCCTTCCATTGTCACCAAAATGGACCCAAACAAGATACGACTGTTCTCAATGTATTTCTATTTATCCTTTCTGTAAAAGAGAGAGACCAGAGAGAGAGACCAGCGAGAGAGACCAGAGAGAGAGACCAGAGAGAGAGACCAGAGAGAGAGACCAGAGAGAGACCAGAGAGAGAGACCAGCGAGAGAGACCAGAGAGAGACCAGAGAGAGAGACCAGAGAGACAGACCAGCAAGAGAGACCAGAGAGAGACCAGAGAGAGAGACCAGCGAGAGAGACCAGAGAGAGACCAGAGAGAGAGAGAGACCAGAGAGAGAGACCAGAGAGAGACCAGAGAGAGAGACCAGCAAGAGAGACCAGAGAGAGAGACCAGCGAGAGAGACCAGAGAGAGACCAGAGAGAGAGACCAGCAAGAGAGACCAGAGAGAGAGACCCGAGAGAGAAACCAGCGAGAGAGACCCGAGAGAGAAACCAGCGAGAGAGACCAGAGAGAGAGACCAGAGAGAGAGAGACCAGAGAGAGAGACCAGAGAGAGAGAGACCAGAGAGAGAGACCAGAGAGAGAGAGACCAGAGAAAGAGACCAGCGAGAGAGACCAGCAAGAGAGACCAGAGAAAGAGACCAGCGAGAGAGACCAGAGAGAGAGACCAGCAAGAGTTACCAGAGAGAGAGACCCGAGAGAGAAACCAGAGAGAGAGACCAGAGAGAGAGACCAGAGAGAGAGACCAGTGAAAGAGACCAGAGACAGACAGAGGGAGAGACCATAACAACACCTCGTTGCTGACTCACAACAACACTCTGCTCGTCCCGTTCCTCTGTCACACACTGCCTCATTCATGCTCAGTATAAAAGGTCCTTTAGGCTGAAAATGGAATCATCCAATCGCAGCCGGAGTAAACAAAAACCAGAATCATCGAAGGAGACGAGGGACACGCGGAAAAGGATCGTTTGGGTTTGAGCCATTTCACCATTTTGGATTCATTAGATTCACGATCGCACGTAAAGCTGGGGGACCTCACTTTTAGCTCCATAAATATCACGTGTTTCTCCCGACATCATCAGAAACTGTTTCAGAGCCAGAATCTAGAGACACAGGCTTATTACAGAGTTCTGTTGTGGTCTGAAAGTTACGCACCCCAGCTTTATTAGAACATAAAAAGATGAGGAACTCGAGATTGTTGCGATCTTTAGCCATTGTTCACGTCCCCCCGACCCTTCTGTCTGACTGCTCTGTTTCCTGACACCACAACAAAGACTGTTTTCTGCCATTTTTACATATGCATGCAACAAAAAAGTTCTCTCTCTAGTCTCTCCCTCTGGTCTCTCTCTGGTCTCTCTCTAGTCTCTCGTTGGTCTCTCTCTCTGGTCTCGCTCTGGTGTCTCTGGTCTCTCTCTGGTCTCCCTCTGGTCTCTCTCTGGTCTCTCGTTGGTCTCTCTCTCTGGTCTCTCTCTAGTCTCTCCCTGGTCTCTCTCTGGTCTCCCTCTGGTCTCTCTCTGGTCTCTCTCTAGTCTCTCGTTGGTCTCTCTCTGGTCTCTCTCTGGCCTCTCTCTAGTCTCTCGTTGG